AAAAAAATTTGAAAACTTGTGTAGGGGGGTTTTTATGAACGCTGAGTTCAATACTCAATTATTCACACGATTACTAAGCTTTCTAAATGGGGTAACCGCACTTTTTAGGAACATTGAAAAAATGGCCGCTACCTCTTAGCTGGCATAACTCTCCAATGAAGCATCATGATAAATTGGGAACTTTACAGTTATAATCAACAACTCTAATTAGCCTAGTGTAGAAGTTTTCAGGCTGTTTTGTTTCCGTTCTGAGGCAAAATATGGCCTTTCATTGCTTAGGACCCTCTTTGAAGTTTCTACCGTAATCCTACAGTAATGAAGAAAGATGGGTGATTCGTTCTATAATGCAAATCTAAGTTGAAGCCAGCTCTACAGATTGGTACCTGAAGCAAGGGAAAAGACTTCTTTAGAAGAGAGGTATTAACGATCAAACGTTCGATACATTTTTTTGGGACACCCTGTATGTATCGCAGCAGATTTGGAGACAATTACTTGAGTGCCTCGCTAGTTCGAGCCCCACAAATTTACCACAAATTTGAGTGACGGTGCCTTCGAAGGAGTGTTTGAGGCAAAATTCCAGACCTGTTCCGATACTTAGTTAGCGGATGACTTGCATGGCGTGCAGCCTTTTGCGGGGAGCCATGTGGTGAAAGCAATGGTTACCAGCGCTCTAGCATGACAGCCGATATAATTTGTCCACCAATATAATAGCGGGGCGTGATTTGGTGATCCGCGGATCTACGATAATGCCTCGTCGTTTTTTGTCACAGCCTGTGTCACGGAATACTCCCTCATCCGTAGAGATGACGCCTCTGCCGCTGTGGCAATCTCCGACTCAGACATTCGTGGTTAAGCCCCGCAGGAGTTTTGCGGGACTCGAGACTACGGGATCAGAAAGGTAGTTTTGCGCGAGAACCAGATTTTGTCCCGAACTTGAGGCCGAGCATATATGACGCGATCTCATCGTCCCGCACTAAGGTCGGGACAAAATCGTGTCTTCGCGCAAGACTACCTTTTCCCGCGTTCGTTTTGTGATGGACTCTTGCGGGCAGGCTTTAAGGCAGCATCTAGGCAAATCTGGACCTATGGGATTTTACCTGGAAAGTAATTTTGGGCCCTAACTAAGGCACTGCCCAAGCGGCAGCGCAGGTGACTCACTAACGACTGAGGTACACGCCTCCAAACTGGACCCCAGGATCGTATTTCGCATGGATTTATGGCGCAACACATCATTTTCTCGCGAGGACTCACGCAAAACTGATGGGTTGAGCCATGAATTCATGCGAAATGCGATCCTGGGGTCCAGTTTCGAGGGGAATATCTCAGCCATTAGAGCACTACCTGAGCTGCTGCTTGGGCAGTGGCTTAGTTAGGGCCCCAAAATCAATATCCACGTGAGATCCCCATATGTCCAGATTCGCTTGGACGCTGCCTTTAACCACGAGTACCTGTATTGATGCCATTTCAGATGTTCGCCATAAGCTCAGGACCGTGGTGCGAGACTGAGCGAGGCGATTGTCCCAATGGAAAAGGGAAAGTTAGGCCTTGAACTCTGTCTTTCCAGGCGGACCGATTGTTACTTGAGTGCGGTACGATGACTGTCCGCCCGGAGAAAGTACGGCGTGGACGAGGAGTTTGAAGGGTCCGACCACGAGTAAATCGTTTGAGCTGGAAAAAACGCCGCTCAGCCAACTTGACTGAGTTCTGAAACCGTCTGTACATTCATGGTGAAAAGATTATGCAATCATTGTTTATCAAAACATCAAGAGCAAGCACTCATTTTGATTGCTTACTAAAGTCATGAACAAAGCATGTGATTCAGAAGAAAGAGGGTAAACGAATTGGGTAGGGGAACGAAAGCCGCCAGTTTGGGTTGTCTTCGCGGACTGCTGGTCCTGGGACGATATGCAACAACACTGCGAAAGGACCAGTTGGCCGCGAAAGGCGGCTCAAACTGGCGGCTTTCGTTCCCCTACCCAAACGAATTTATGTCGCCAATGGACTCTACCTCCGAACAGGTGGTACCTGTAAGGCGTAGAAAGACATGATTAGCGCGAACTCAGCCTAGAACACATCAACGTGAAGAGTGTTTGTAGATGCTTGTCTTGATATCATGCTTAGGTCTCACGTATAATCACGCTTGAAACTTAAAAATTAGGGGGAAAGAGATAAGGCAAAGAGGCAACGCCCTCTCAAATTGAGGATGGTGATGCATATTCTGGTGCTGTATAATAGCGGAACCCCTAACCAAGTAATCGCCCAAGTCCCGCTGCAAAAGATGAATAATTGATCGAAAGAGTTACTACAGAAGGTAGAAGCGGCGGTGACTCCGCCCATCAACGTAATTTCTGAGGGGAAGTTTGATATGGGGTTTTAGTGTATATAGAACTGTAGTAAATCGGCGATGCTTCGACATTTCTGTTCTGGATGTCCGAATGGGCGAAGCCAACTTGACCGCTTCTGCTTTCTGAATCGATTTTTTCGCTTCGGAATTCATGTTCTGCAGGCGGGACAGGGGCAGTTATCATTCACTTCACGATTCCGGGTAGAGGAACGAACACCTCATTTAGGCACCGCCTCCGCGGGCTGCTGGTCCTTTCGTCCTACTGTTGTGCATAGTGTGGGGACCAGTAGTCTGCGGAGGCCGTGCCTAATTGAGCTGTTCGTTCCTCGACCCCACGATTCCAAATACCTCCTCTCTTCGTCTCTGACCGCCATACGTGTCGCAGCTCAAAGACGCAGAGATGGTGCGACAGTCGTACAATGGACGCTACTACCTGCAAATAGTTAGGGACCCCGTTACTGTACACTATCAAAACCTCACAACTTTCAGTCGGAGTGGACGGTGGCTTGGAGCGCATTCAGCATTCATAACGGCCTTACACAGTGCATTTGCGCACAGATAGGTTGCAGTTTACTGCCGTTAGGTTTTCCCATGGATGCTGCCTGCGGCCTGTCGAGTCACAGATCTGGCACAAATCCGAGCCCGCGGGCTATTGATATCATTGGGGTCACTTGAAGCGTCTTCTTCATGATTTATTCATGTAGGCTGAAATTTGGTTTTACTCCCCTACAACAAAAGACGTCTAACATTTGGAGTAAGTTGGGTGAATGTGGTTTATACCGTTGCTGCATAGTTGCATATTTTACTTGGAAGGACGGGTCTTTCCGAACAGAGACATGGAAGGGAGGATTGCTGATCGTGTGCATACGCCCCTTTTGCGTATTAGCCCTATGGGTGTATCCCATTACTTGTGACTGTCAATTACGCAGGCGCCGCGCGCGACAGGCTGGCAGTAATCAGTTGCGAGGAAAGCTCGGGTAGCACTCGCAAGGCATACTTATTCCATCTTTTGTGAATGTTTTCACACTACCATATCAAATTTTTCTGTTTTATGGAATTTTGACACCAAATCTAGAAATGGATAGTGAATGGAATTATGGAAATTACCATTTATCTGATGACAGAATATGTACTTTTTGTTCACAATACTAACGTGACCCCTAAGCATTCCCTCTGAGACATTTTTCTAGCCCTGCTGCCTCTCGTCCGGGTTACTGTAACGCCGCATCGCGGCAATTTCAATTAACACCCACAAGTAATAGGCGCCCCCAGCGCTACGATTCCGCATTAAAGGCAGCGTCCAGGCAAATCTGGACTAGGGGGCTCTCACGCGGATAGTAATTTTGGGGCCCTAACTAAGCCACTGCCCAACTGGCAGCTAGATAGTGCACTAACGGCTGAGATATTCGCCTCGAAACTAGACCCCGGGAACGTATTTCGCATGGATTCATGGCGCAACCATGGGTCCTCGCGCGAAGTTGATAAATTGCGCCATGAATCCATGCAAAATACGATCCCGGGGTCCAGTTTTGAGGCGATCTCAGCGTTAGTGCACTACATGAGCTGCCGATTGGGTAGTGGCTTAGTTAGGGCCCCAAAAGTACGACTCACGTGAGAGCCCCATATGTCCAGATTTGCCTCGACGCTGCCTTTAAAGGCACATTGTTTAGGCAAATCCGGGCGTATGGGTTTTTTGCATGGAAATTGTTGAGGAGATTCTGGCTAAGGCACTGCCCAAACCGCAGCGCAGATGATTCATTCACGGCTGAGTAATATCCCCAAACACTCCGCGGCTGCGCCATGATCGTGACACTTAGGATGGGTCCCACGGCGAAAAAAGTGAGCAAAGTCGTTCTCGGGTCGATCGCGGCGCCGGCGCAGGATTCGGCGACGGATTTCGCAGCCTTGAATAAACAATTGCGCCCTTTGGGCGTGAATAAACAATTTCGCTGCCCTTTGGGCAGTGCTTTAGTTAGGATCCCCTCATCATTTTCAGGCGAAGAAACCCATGCGCCCGATTTGCCTGGAACACTGCCTTCAAGTCTGATGTTAGCGTATCCGTTCTTTAGTTCTTCGCATATCATATATGCCCCAGAATTGTCCTCATAGGTACTAAAGGTTATTCGTCGACGACTGCCCGGACTCGTGCAATTACACCACCTTGGGCATACCTCATTGGGGCCTTTCCAGCTTGACAGTACGCTGCAGCGCGCGGGGACTTGGCAGCTCGCAGCATCTCTATCCTTTCCCTGTCCTGTCCTGTCCTACTGTCAAGCTGGAAAGGCTCCAAAAAAGCACGCCCACAGTGGTTAATTGCACTGATTGGAGCAGTTGTCGACGAATATCCTTTACCAACGTGGCTGCCTATTTTAACATGTCAAATTCGAATAAGCGCCTTGTCGCCTTCGTGTGCCCCCCCCCCCCCCCCGTATTTGCTGGAGTTCATGTGTTGAAACGGTTGAAAGGCAATGGTACCTATGGGAACAATCCTGGGGATGCACCATATCTAAGAGCGTTGTCTTAGGAGAACGTCAAAGTTTACTCGTAATCTGAGTCGAAATACGAGAACTAGATTTGATCCCAGCTATGACGCCTCCCTTAAACCACTCATCGCGTTTGAGTTTGCATGGTTGCAAATTCATTGTACATAGTTCAGAAGCTACTCGCCACAATCTCAACAAAGTCTGCGAGGCGAAGAGGAAAGAAGGATACTATGTGTGACAACACTAGTGCCAAGGTAAGTTTGCTGAATCTGGGTAGTCTATCGGTTGGTTGGCTTGTTGTCGTTTGATTCGCAAGCTAAAGAACGTATGCTGTAGTTGACTGCACGAAATCGCCCAGGCTAAGCCCGCAAGCGTGTCACTTGCGGGCTAACATTGGCATTCGCGCGCATTATCATCATAGCGCCCGGACTCGGCTACCGCGTTGCAGTCACCCTCGCGGGCGTTCAGCCTACAGCGAAATGGGCGATTTCGTGCAGTCGACCTTACCTCGACAGTATTCGCATTGAGAAGTGCAAACCATTTCGGAAAAATGTCGGCTCCACGGTTGCAGCAAAGTTGCTGCTACTATGTTGCACAATCCATGGATCCGGTCTTGAGTGTTAGGGTAGAGGGGGTGGCGGTCAAGAATAACGATAGCTCTGCCAGCCGCTACTCAGACAATCACAGGCTCTCAGCCGGCAGCCACAAAGCCACCACGAAAACCCATCAAGAGCGCGAGGCCACCGCGCTTTTAGTGAGTTTTCGCGGTGGCTTTGTGGCTGCCGGCTGAGGGCCTGTGATTGTCTGAGTAGCTGCCAGCTGCTCGTGCGCGCAGAACAGCCCGCCCTCACTCATTTATGGTGAAAACAATGATTCAAACTTTGGTTTGTTTCTTTGAAACTTGTTCTCTAAATCGATCATAGAATATTACATACGTATATCACATGCTGAATCAAGCTCAAAACAATTCAATCGCGTGTCCATGGCGATATAAAGCTGACTATTTCCATTCTTAGAAAATAGCAGAAGCTTTAATATGAAGCATGAATAAAGAAAAACAACGCTTCGAACATTTATGCTACTGAATGTACTGCCTGCGTGAGCTCATCCGTTGCTAGGGCGGTGCTACCTGTATACCCTTTACTGACACCCGGGCACTCAGAGGATCACTATTGCCAGCTATCGTTATTCTTGACATATACCCGGGTAGAGGAACGAACACCTCAATTAGGTCTCGCCTCAGCGGGCTGCTGGTCCTTTCGTCGTACTGTTATGCATCGTTTTAGGACCAGTAGGTCGCGGAGGCGGTGCCTAATTGAGGTGTTTGTTCCTCCACCCTGGGTGTCACAGTTACATATGATTCACTATCGGATCTGCAATGAATCCAGATTCGATGGAGATACTCCGTCTGCATTCAAGCTAACTTAGTTACGACCGCTTGTCTGTGAGTACTAACGAGAAGCTATGATACCACTGTTTTACTACGTATGGATGGAATTCGAACAGAGAGCGCTGTTGGGAATGCTGTGCAACTGCGCACCGGCCGCTTCTTTTTTTCCGCATTTCAGTAGGAGAAGGTATAGGTCATTTGTAATCGTGACGACGATTTGACTGCGGTCTTTGCACCCATAGGAGCAGAAAACACTCATCACATCACACACACACACTCATCGTGACATCACCTCAACTCTCAGCTCAGTCTTTTCCAATGTTTGAATACCATACCGTCACATGCAAGCAGCAAAACCATTCGAGTAGAAAAACCTAGGTAATGTGGTTGCCGGGAAGTGCGTGCGCGTCGCGAGCGGTCGTGCCATCGCTACGATTTTTCATATGCCCTATAACTTTAATATGGTTGAAAATTTTGAATTTGAGCAAGTACAAGCGCATTGCCAGGTATGGCAGTACTTGATCCACTTCATTCATCTCGCTATCGGTCAAATCAATAAGCTGACCGATAGTGAAATGATGTCCACGTAATCCACTTGATCCAGTTCGAGTGGATGAAATGGATTAGGCGATCAAGTTGGTGCGTGTTTGAAGGCAGTACCCGGGCAGAAAGTCAATTTTGGGATTACTTGCTTACACGGACATTCAAAATCCACACTGGAAAGCGCAAAAATGGCGAAAAAGAGCTCTAGCGCAGGAGGAAAATCAGCAAGTGGGCAGGGTCTTCCCTTCTGTGAAGTTACCTTCGCGACTCCCGGAGCGATCTTCTTGGTTCTGCCTTCACGTCGCATCGCTCTTGGCAGTGGCGATATTAGGACGGCTAGCGGAAGCGAGAAGATCTCCGGAAGCTGGGAGAGTAAAGGCTAGTACAGGATGAAGGCGCAGAAGCAGTATCAGCGAGCAGGCGCGAACGTGACGCGCGCGTGCCTTTAGGCCTAAGGCGTACTTCACGCGATTTGGCCAAATCGCCACCTTTAGGCCTAACAAGGGAATGGTCAGAAATCGAAGTGGCCAATTCGAGTAAACTACATACCATCAGATGCAGCATAAAAGGCTGACTCTAACTCTGCTTTCCTTATCTGCAGAGCGCTTTTGTGGATGAAATTATAAGCACTTAAAGGCCATTATTTTTCTTAGAAATCGTGCATGTAAAGCTCAAACTTGGCCGTACAGAGCCACTCTCGGCTCAGTGTTGGACCAAAATATGCAACAAGGTCTCTTCATATGGCCCGTACTTAAAGGTGAGCTAAAAGAGCAATAGTGTGCCTAATCTCGCAATTTTTGTGTACGATTTTTTCGCAGTAAAGCTGCTCATAACTTCGCCTACAAAGGCGCTCTGCAGATATGGAAGGCAGATTTGAAATCAGCGTTCTATGCTACATCGAATGCTATGCAGCTTGTTTGGATTGGCCACTTCGACTTCTGACCATTCCCTTGTAAGGCATACCTCTCGCGATTTGGCACAACAGCGACTCTTCGTAATTCGTCGTTAATGCGCTGCCTTTGATCAAGACTTGTTCTGTTTGAAACAACTTATACAAGCTACCCAAATATGCGTCCCAGAAGTGCGCATGATAAATTTATAGAAATCTGGCAAACCGCCAAGTCGCGTGAAAGTGGCGATTCCGCCGAATCGCGCGAGGTATGTCTTACGCCTTAGGCTAAGGGCATACCTCGTGCGATTTCAGTCGCCACGCGATCTGGCAATTTGCCAGATATCTTCAAATCCAATACTGGCAGACCCCAAATGCACAACATGTTAAGTTTTCTTAGGTTGATAAAATGCCCTATATTTCGTATATTCCGAAACCCCTTACGATGAGTTATGCACAATTGGAGTACTGCCACATCGCCTCGCGACTGAAATCGCGTGAGGTATGCCCTTAGCCTTACACGACTTGGCGATTTGCCAGATTTTTACGGAATTATTGTGCACTTTTCTCAAAAGCATAGGCGTTGTAATCAGAACAAGTCTTGCTCAAACAAAGCGCATTTCAGACCGGTTATAAACACTTGTTCGTGTACCAAATCGCGCAGCAACCGAAATCGCGTGAGGTATGCCTTAGGCCTTATGTTGTAAATCCTGCGCCTTATGTGCTCCGCGGCTCCATTAGGCCAGGTGAGCAAAAAATTCTAAAATCGACTTCCTGGCCGGACACTGCCTTTAATGAGATTCTGAAGTCTAATTTGGACGTGTCTTAGTCGTGAGTGCACCATCTGGGGCGGTATTTATCAATCTCTTTTAGGGAAGGGGTTCCTGTGCATGTCACAGCAAGTATAGGCGCGGGCACTGACGCCCGCGATACACGAAGCCAATGATCGGGTGATCGGGCTCCTGTCTATTTGAAGATATGGTCCGATCTGGCAAGTTTGCCCATGTCGGGCACGGCAGGGCCCGATCGTTCCCGATCTCAGGTCGGGCTCTGCTGTCCGTTTGGGTCACGCGTCCCAAACTTTCATGGATCATGGGATGGCGCCCTCACCTGTCCGGGGAACCCGTTAATAATGGCCCGAAAGGCGAGTGGGAGATTGATAAATACCGTCCCTGGCTCCCGCTTGAGCAGTGTCTTAGATAGGGCCTCAAAGTTACTTTCCATGAGATTTCATCTGTCCAGATTTGCCGACGCTGCCTTTGAGTCAGGTGTTGTGGTTATGGTCCACAGGCAAGCCATAGAGGGCATACCTGGCTTTACTCGGACTGTGATACATACTTACTTAGAAACTTGGATACTTAGATGGCCCGTCCTCACGTGACGTGCGGGCCCCAGTACAAAAGTTGCCATTGATCCCTGTCCCTCGCTTCGGACATCCACGATCTTCTTGGTCGTCGTCGGTGGCTGCGTCCACGAGTTCCAGGGGCGAGAATCGTATCCAGCTGATTTCGCAGCTGGTCCATCCGTTCCACGAACACGTCTGCCCATCTCGTCAGTGGTCTTCCTCGAGGACGTTTGGCTTCGCGAGGAATCCACTCAGATGTTCTTAGTGTCCATCCATCGTCCGTTCTTCTCATTATGTGACCGGCCCATCGGTGTTTCGCTTTCGCAACGTATTCCGCTGGGTCACGAAGACAGGACATTCTTCTCATATCCGTGCTGCGAAGTCCGACTTGATGTTGCTTGTGTCGGGTCATCTTCAGAAGACTGCGCTCGAGCCTCGGACCGTGATACTATATGATAAAAATCCACATTCCCCATTTCTGTGCACTTCCCTATCCGTGCTTCAGTTTTAAGCTTCTTCCCTGCCTGCACTACATTTTTATAATTGGCATGCACACTAATTCGTTGTACCAACATCTAGCTCAGTCAAAGTTTGCGAAACCCTGCCAAAATTAATGTGACTTTCGTTAGGAGCCTGCTCACTCACCCCTATGTGCCGACTCCCGGTCTCCATTTTTCCATATCTCCACAAAATCGGTGTAATCGATGTCGACGACGAAGTGTAGCTGTGACACTCGACCTTCCCTTCCCTCCCCCCCCCCCCCCGAAGTGTACGTGCGCAAAGTTTGGCCCGGATCAGTTAGAGGATTGTGTTTCCCGTTCCGCATATGCGTGGTGCCCACTTCACGATTGCATCTACTACACCTTCTCTGCGTCTCTGCCCTGGCTGCATGCAACTTCCAGCTGCTCCCGATGATGGTAAAACGTTGGCCGACATTTGTTGTATGTTGCAACATGGTGGCCATGCGTGCCGCAGGTCGGAGACGCAGAGCTGGGGTAGCAGCAGTAGTGGAATGGACGCTTACCATTTGTATCATTAAGACTGGCGGGTGGTGACTGTGGCTCTGGGCTCTGCATCTCTCTCTCGC